TGAAACCACTGCTAGCATAGTCTCTTCCTCAGCTGCCTTGCCTTTGCCATGGAAGTAGGAAGTCCTGTCTCGCTCCACCCAGAAGTTGCTGATGGGTTTCCTTCAACAAGCTGTGCTCTAATCACTACAGGACTCAGTATCAGGAGACTACTTCAGAAGGTCGCTGGTTGACCATATCCTGGAGCATGCTACAGAAAAAGAGGAAACTACCCACCTTGCTAAGATTCTTTCATAGTCTTGGTAATAATACAATCTATAAACAAAAAGGTATTTTTATGAATATTAGTTTCTATTCTTGAAGGAGTTCATTTTCCAAGAGAAGAGAAAAAGAAAATAGGGAAGAATGGGATGTTAAGAGTATGAAACCAAAATTGTATGCCATCTTAATTGAAAGTATTTTTCTAATACTCATAAGCTTCCTATCTAAAATAAATTAAAAAAAAAAGATTTTAAAAGTGAAATGAATGACTGTAGTGCTAGTAGGGACAGAATAGTTTAAGGTGAAAAATATATACGGGATATATCAAAGTTCCAGTAAATTTAAAAGAAATAGGCAGGAAGGAAGGAAAATTATTGCATGAATCATACTCCCTTGGGTAACAGTGTCAGCAGACTTGAAATCATCATGTTGCATAGGACAAACAGATGAGCAAATTGATGAGTAACTGACAAAAACTTTTTTTTTTCCCCTGAACACTGAACTAGCAAACAGTTCTTTTTATATAATAAAGATGTGAGGTAATCACATCTCACTGAAAGTCAGAGCTATAAAGAAGGATATAAAGGAGCAGATGGTATGGGCTAACAAATAGCTGCAGTAGCAGCCATGCTACTGCAAGAATGTTTTTTCATGGACCTGTTTAATCATAGTGGATGAGTTTTGCCCTTATTACTTTAAAGCAGGTATTTATGGCATGGTTTAGCTCATTAGGTTTGTCTCAGTTCTTTATACCCTTTGGCTCAAATTTCTTAACTAGAAGGGTTTGAATTTAAGCTGGTCTCTTGCTGGGCCTAAATTCATTCCTGTTAGGCAGTGTGAGAGCCAACATATAAGCAGTTTGGATAGTAAAGGAGTATAGGCCATAGGCTGACAATATGGACCAGTACTTTTTAAAACCATTTGTAACTTTCTTTTGTTTGTATTAGTCTTAGTGTGATCTCCCACACTAATTTTTTTTTAGTTCTCTCTTAGTTAGGCAGAGGGGTAATGTATCAAATGTATTTCACTTTGCAAGTTTGTATTGATTGCACCTACCTTAAAGTGATGCCAGCAATTCCCTTCCTCAAGCAGCACTTCAGTTAACCTTGGAAACTGTCTGCAAAGAACTAGCAGTAAGTTATTAGAACAAGATTATAATTCTAATGTGAAAAATAACCATATACAGAAATAATTTGCCGCAGCATTGGTACAGATATCTATAAGGAAAGGATGGACACTGAGAAGATACAGAAGACAATAGAAACCAGAGGGCAGCCACTGGGAATATTCCCTTTTTTCTCTGACTTTTCTGAAAACTTAATATTTTCCTCTGACATGAGATTTGCAGCTTGAAAGTATTGATAAATGTTGCACTACAGCAAGATTTCAGGACATCTCATGTCTTTTAAACATTGCACATTATGCAACCTATGAACTTTAGTTATGATTTCCCAAACTGTAGTGTGGGAACAAAAGATGAAAGGTTCCCAAATAGTGTGAGAACAGTTGTAGCCTAGCTGCAATATGATAGTACACTCTTAGTGGTTGGGATGGAACTATAAATGGTAAAGTGTGAGGAAATAGAGAACAAATCTATGTGGCTAATATTCCAAATAATGGAAAAAAAAAAGACATTGATTATAGGTAATAAAATTAGACCTGTTGGAGTGGGTACAGAGGAGGATCACAAAAATGATCAGGGTTGGAGCATCTCTACTGTAAAGAGACTGAGAGTTTGGGCTGTTCAGCCGGGAGAAGAGTAGGCTCTGGGGAGACTTTAGAGCAGCCTTCCAGTACCTAAAGGGGGCTTACAGAAAAGATGGAGATAGACTATTTAGCAGGGCCTGTTGTGATGGAGTAATGGTTTTAAATTAAAAGAGGGTCAATTCAGAATTGATAAAAGGAAAAAATTTTTTACAATGAGGGTGATGAAACACTAGAACAGGTTGTCCAGAGAGCTGGTAGATGCCCCTTCCCTGGAAACATTCAAGCTCAGGTTGGACAGGCTCTGAACAACCTGATCTAGTTGATGTTCCAGCCCAAATGGTTCTATGATCTTACCTGCTTTACTTTGCAAACCTTTGAATTTCATATATCAATACACAGAAAAGGCTATAATCCTCATTCTCGAAGAATATGACTATTAAAATAGCATCTGTTTGAACACTTCAATACCAAGATAATGTTTGCAATGTTTGTTTCTAAGACTGCAGTCTCAAGCGTACCTCCTTTGCAACTATACCTTATGTCCCTTTTATAGCCTGTGGAATGGCTGAAATCCGGTCGCCCTCTCTAAAATGTACCATTTAAACTATTTATTAAAATGTATTAAAAGCACAAAATAAAAATATAATGATAAATAATGTCACAAAATACATTTGTGGTTGTAACTTTCTGATTTTCTATTAAAAAGGCTACTAGACAAATACAATTAGACAAACACAGACTTCTATGAAACAAAAGGCAGAAGGGTAGCCTAACCCTCCTAATGAAGCAGGAATTGGAAGAGAGAAATTATAAACCCTCTTTCATTTTAAATCTCCCTCTTTTAATTTGTGAAACATAAATTCTTAGTTTAAGGTTCTTAAATGAAACACCTGCAGAGATTCTATTTTTTAAGCACATTTGTGTAATCCAGTGCAATAATCACAATTCACATATCATTCTCAGCTGGGTCTCTTTGCTACCTCTGCTAGGTCTTTTCCAACCTTAATGATTCTATGATTCTATGATAGTGGAGGAAACACAAAAGTGTGTTAATTAACACCACGTGGGTGGCAAATGGTGAGCTCTGGGCTGTCACAGAAAAAAATAGCAGAAGCCGTTCAGTGTCCACGAGATTGAATTTATGTTTCTCAGTAATTGCTTTCTCCACTTAAATTATTTTTTAATTTGATACTAGAAGACATAAAAAAAAAAGACAAGTTCTCCCAGATTAAAATACTTCAGACATGTCTGAACTTTCAGCCCTTGATGTATTCAAGAATTTTTCTGTTTTCAAATAAGCAACGAACACAAACCCTCAGAGATACTGACAGTTTTAATGTAAAACAGTTCTATTTTCTTTGCTAAAAGCTGGGAACTGAAGTATACTGCATGTTTACCAGATTCTGCATTTAAGATGTCCAGACATACTGTATATACTCAGGATATACACTGAGTCCTCATTTTTGTTCCTTCTAGTGACATTTCCTTCACACTTTATTTTCTATGATAAATACTGATAAAGTGCTATCTTATTTTGGATTTCTATTTTGACTACAGTTTGAAAAGTTTATTAAAATCTATCCCAGTGTAAGGAAGAATAGGAAACCCTATCAAAGATGCCAGCAAGACATCCATTTCTTACCCTCCCTTAATGCTTAAAAATTAGTAGCATTAGCTTAAATATTCATAATAAAACCAAGAAACCTTTGAAACAAGTTGTCAAAAGATATAGTAGCAGCAATTCAGAGTTAAAGCTCTATTATTTTTTAAAAATGTTGCTGTGCAACTTCAGGTGAAAAAATAATGTGCTGCAAAATCTTAGGTATATGCATAATTTTTTAAATACTCTTAGTTCTTGCCTGATTATAATTATTCATGTACATGGGAAATTGTAAGGTGATGAATGTCAATATGTACAGTAAAAATAACTTTTAACTACATGCATATGGCAAGGAAGGACTGTTGCTAATCTTTTTGTAACAGCTTAAATGATCATAATTCTTGCTTTTGTTGATAGCTTTTTCCTGCTTAACTGTTGAAAACATTTTCGTATGGTATGGTGGCCTTTCTCCAGGTTTACAGAATATTGTTTTCTTGTTTCAAGAGGGAAAATTTACATTAACTTTCATATATAGTAATTGACATTTATAGTGCATGTGGGATTGATTACTTTACCACATGAGAAAGCTGCAGCCTTAAAATATACAGAATATGAGACAATATCATCATGTTCCAACACATTATTTCCTCTGTACTATTAAAAGGTCCACTGCTGGTCAGTTCCAATATTCTTGATATCTGAAGTTTTTACTTTGAGAACATACATTATGTCTTAATGCAGAGTCATTTCTGAATGTCCATCAACATTGTATGTATTGCTGTGTTGTTGTTTCACCTGTGTAAGTCTCACTGTGAAATTTTGCCTGAAACTCTAGCAAAGACATTGACAGTAAAAGTGTTACGAAAAATGAATTTTAAAGGTTTGTAATTTTGGTCTGAACAAGTATATGACATTTATGACAAATTCTGAGCTGCTTTTCCCAACCAAAATTATGTTTGAAATTAGCCAGATTATTTTTCTGGAAAACAAGAAAAGTTGAATTGGGATTTTGTGGAATATTTTGGCTCTTAGCATTGCACAAACTTTTGTTATTTCCAGAAGCATGAAAGTAAAGCTGTATAGCATGCATCAAAAATTGTAAAATCAACACAAGAATACTTTTTTTTTTATTTATTTTTAATGTGAGAACCTCCATTAGCATTACCTTAAAAGTTTTCATTTCCTTTATTATAAAAATTATGGCAATTCAGCTCACAACTTTTAGGTCAAACTATACCTTAAATTCTGTTACAGTTTGAGGACAAAACCTGAAACAAACTTCAGCTGTGATTCTCAGGAGGAACATTCTTTAAGTAGTGAAGGGAGCACCAGCCTCAATGAAGCATAAGATTTCCCCCATCTGTTCTCTGACTGTATATGCATTTCCCTTGTGAATGTGTATGTGTGTGTCCCAGTCTCCTTCCACCCCCAAAATTCTGACAACAAAATTGAAGTAGACTTCATCTTAACAACTTCTAGCAATAACCAGTTTTATTTGTTCTTTGAAAATTGAAAGGAATCAGATAACAAAATTATAGAAAATAGTTAACTGAAGTTTCACATTGTCATGTTAGAAACACAAATATTTGAAATGTGATGACAGAGAAGGTCACAGCCACACTATTAAATACAGCACCATCGAAGGCGGAGTGAGAAAGACACTTGCTGCAGGATACCCTCTAAGTGGGTGCAGCATAGAAGGTGGTATCTTCAGTCCCTATCAGACACTGCTCTTGCCCTTCCTGCTAGCTGGGAGAAGTTGGACACTCACAGTGTTTGGATACCTGGTGGAGAGAAAGTGCTGGAAGAGTCCACAGAGGAAAAGGGTACTAAAATATCTCAGCACTGCCAATATGCCATTCATCCTTACTTAAGACAGCTGTAAAACTGACTGATGGGCTGCCTGAATAATATTTCTGTACAATTGTTTGTTCTTTATTTGTCATAAACTTTATTAAATCCTAAAGCTTTGATCTTGGACATGATTTTTCTTCCATTAACCTCAAAAATATCTCAGAAAGATTAGTAAGCATTATTATCTTTTATACACAAAAAAATCACATACCAAGTTTAAGGATGTACAGGTTCTGTTCAGGGCGAGAGAGAGAGAGGTGAGGAAGTTGCTTTTTGCAGTTACCGGAAAGCTGTTACTCCCCACCTGCAGGTGACCATTAGCATGGGAAGCAAAGGATCACTTACTCTTTTTTCTGAGTTAACTTTAAATCTATCTTGGAGCAAAGAAACACACAACACTACGTAATGAAATGAATTCTAAGTCACTGAAAACATATGTTACAAAGGTGCTAAACGTGACTGCAAAAAAAGCTTCATCTGAGTTGTATTTCTGGTTAGTCATTGGTGGTAGGTTACTTTCAACTGTAAGTTTAAACATACATGATTAATTAAATATATATTGCTCACATTTGATATTTTCATATTGAGTATGTAAATGTTAAAGTTTAATAGACAATTAAAAGATGCATTTTAGATCTTGACTTCTAACTGCTTATTCTTTAAGAATTGGTAGAGTTAACAATGCTAATTTAATTTAATTTTATTTGCACAGTTATTGGAGAACCACTTTGCAATACTTAATTTCATTTCATGGAGAAATCTTGTTTACAATGGTCTTGATATTTTCTTTCCTCTTTTTTTTTTTAATTAAAAAAAGCCATGATCCTTCTGGGACTCTGTGAAGGATACCTCCTCTTCTATTTTTATATGATCTTCAGAGAGCTTTAACCTCTACTACATATCACTGTCAGTTTTATATAAACACATCTATTTTGATAACTTCAACATGTCATAATCTTTTAGAGAGAGAGACAGGAAAAGCAGCATGATCAGTATTATATGATATTCATTACATATCACTGATGTACATTTAACCTTTTTATTCCAGGGCATTATTCAAATAAGTCTGTGCCAGTTCTAGGAAACCTTTGCCTTCTGAGATATTTTATTTTAATTATTCAAGACAACATTGCAATTCTACCAGTGAAATGTTTAATTTCTTCTCTCTCTCTCTCTCTTTTTTTTTTTTTTTTTTGTTACTGCATCCTATCTAACAGATGGTAGCTTGGGTAAAAGTGGGTAAAATTGTTATTGATCAGATGTGCACTGGCTTTCCTGAGTTTGCCATTACATATTTCTAAAATTCCTGAGGCTAAAGAAGAAATAGGAGGTGGGACAATTGCTCAAAAATAGCAGATGAGCCTTTCTGAAATGAAGCACTGAGTGAATACTAAAATTATATGTTTGTGAGTTGTTCGTAAATCAAGATTTCTAATAGGATAAAATGAGTTTGTGGTAGATTCTGATTTGACATAGTTATTACTGACCCAGTGTCTGGATTTCTCTTTACCAAAACCACATTAAGATATGTGTATGTGTATTCCATTAGACACTAGAGATTCTACATTTATAAACAAATACCCCGCTTTCTGTTGTTTTAAAGACATTACATTAATATAATTTACTTGAAATCTTACATTTCTTCTGACTTAAGTACAGGGATTGGTCCTAAGAGCTCAAAGGAACCAAAAAAATGGAAAGAAGAGTATCTCACTTAATATATCTCTTTTTCAGTGTTCAGATTCTTCTTCCAAAGAGTTAATGAAGCTACACAGCTCCTTTAACCCTGCTGAGAGTCATTGATCTGATCTGGCTAGCCTGCAGGTTCTCACAAAGGAGATAGCTGGACAACAGCTGTATTATTAACAGCAGAGGTAATTTACCTTTTATAATGTTTCCTATCTGTGTAATTTTGTATTTTTACCTGTTAGCTCCTGATAGTATAAAATAAAAAGTTATAATTTTCTTACTTTTTCCCTGTCAAACTTTTTCTGTTCTTCTAGAAATCCTCTACTCCTCTCTTTTTAAAGAAGCTATTACTCTACTGCTATTGCACTAAGCACGCTATTACTTCTTATATTGAATATTTTGTTCCTGTATAGAGTATAATATTGGGAGGAAAAAAAAGATTCTAGAATCTGAAACTCACAGTGATCCTGTAGAAAAGCAAAAATTCCCTTCTAACTTCACTAAAAAGAGTGGGGGGAAAAATCTTGTGATTTTGCCTCTGTTGGTTCAGGGTTTTTTTTATTCAGTGTATCTGTGTCTCTTCATGAGCAATTCTATTTCATTTTTTTGAGAGTGAATTGTCATGTCGTATCTTACTGATTCAAACAACATATCTCATTGTAATTGCAATCACAATATCTTCTTTCTATTTTATTGAAGCTGACCTCAAATTCTTTGGGAATTATTTTTCGATAATAGTGAAATTATGCAAATTACTGAAATAATCACAAAATTTCATTGAAACATCCTTCCTGAAAAATGGCTTGTTGCCTCTTAGCCAGAGAGTACATGGTAGCTGCTTCTGTAGCACCTTTGCTATGCCATGGTGGGGACGGAGCATTTTCCATCAGTTAATCAGCTCAGACTTGCTGGTATTTGTGTGGGCTGTAGCAAATGGACACTGGAACAAACTCCTCTCTCAGTGGTGTCCAGATTTTCTTGAAAAGGCAAGTACCTGATTGGAACCTGGATGGAACCTTGCATATATCTTGAACCTTGCACACAATCAGATACCAAGACCTAGAATTAAACCCAGCCACCTAATGGATCTAGTGAGCTGTTTCAGAATTATGCCCTTGCTATGAAGCAACTTGTTCATCTTCCCAAAATAACTGTGCAGAGATAATTATTTGAGGATGCCTAAGAGAAAGGAAAGAACTCTTTCATTTAAGGTAATCTGGTCTTACTGACCTTGTGGCAGTGTTTCCCCTGGCTTTAGTGGATCTACGCTTCTACTTAGTGCATTTACTAGAGCTACAAAATGTGCAGTAAGGTTTCAACAATTCTCACAATATAGTGGGGATCAGCTAAAGGTTTGTAATTATGCAGATTTTCTGAGTGAAAGCAAAATGTGCCAAGTGGGAAGAGTATGAACCGTATAGGTAAACTAGGCTAATTTAAGCTAATTTATTTCACAGCATTATCAGCAATGCCATATAGAAAACAGGATCTAATACAGGCAACCTCTCTCTTCTTGTGTAGAATTAGAGCATGAAACAACACATGCAAGTTGTAAACACATTCTGCTTGTATGTTGGATCATCCTGAGAAAGGTGTTGTTTTGGAGCCATTGGAATTTTAAAGAAAACTGTATTCAGACATGACCAATAGAGTAAATGAATGAACCATTAATACTGTTGCAATCTGTGCCTAACAAAATCATTTCCTGTAGCAACTGGAGTCACTAGAAGGTAATCAAATCACTCTTGCAGGTGGTAAATCTGTGGAAGTATCACCTCGACTGAGGTCCAGGGGATAACATGTCATAGTCACTTCTAGCTAACAAAGGTGGAAAAGCAGAGAGGCCACAATGTGTACTGAGAGACAGCCCCTATCAGGAGATGCTGACACACTTACTTTGAAAAAAAAAAGTGAACAGCTGGTGGACTGGAATTATTGAGTGTCAATATAGCTGCAAACTTGGGCTTATAGTTTACGTGTTGATGTCTTTTTTTTCTTCATAAATTTTAACTCTAAGGCTTTTCACTTCAGAAAATCTGGCTGATCATGAGTTAACCATGACACTGTCCCTGAGCAAAAGAAAAGCTGTTTAACTCAGTGAATTCAGGCTCAGATAGACTATGAAGTACATTTCAAAGAAATTTTGGAGTTTGAAAGCAGATAGTTCCACAGACACTTCCTCACAGATTATTTGTTAGAAGTGAATTTACTGATATTTTTCCCATCTGTTGTTGCTCATCTCTCAAACAGGACGGTTGGTTGCAGAAGAAAGGTGGAAGGTAGGAATTTGAACTATTTTCTACAAGGAAAGCTTTGCCAGATTATTTTCAACTGATTCTAGCAAACCCCAGGGACACTGACTTGGATGAGACAACTCATGTGCGATTCAGTATCTTGTTCCAAGAATGTAGCGTCAATCCCCTGCTGGACACAGCCAAGTGGGTGAACAGTGAAGTCATTAAAAAGGGAAAGAGCTTTGGATAATAATAAAAAAAAAGACTCAGGTGAGTTCAAAAGAGTTGTATCCTTCGTTGGTGTAGATTTTCACCCTATGGCACAGGGTGCTTCCTAGGATGAGCAGCTGTAGAATAAAGTCTTAGTGAAGAATAAAACCTTAGTGGCAACATCTATCGTACTATGTGAGCGGAGAATAGCAGTTTCTGAAACCATTAAAAAATAACTGCATGCCAGGACACTTTGCTAGAAGAAATGCTATGATAAGACTGTGGCCCCGGCATGGCTTCCCCTCATCCTGCCCATAGTCCAGGGCTCTGTGTCTGCCCCAGGGAACATCAGGCCCTGCCCGAGCAATGTTGTTTGATTGTGCAAGATATTCAAGAAATGTACTCATCTTGCCTTCAGCTAATAAACATACCTGTTTGAGTGTTTAACAAGCACACCAGGCAAAAAAATAGTAGCTTATTAATTTTGCAACAGTGGATACTGATATTTATGAAGTAGACAAATTATTGCTTTTTTTTCATCTTTAATATGCATGTCCTGTCTTAAATTTAGATAAAATTACTGCGTGTCATATAGTTCAACCTGCTACTCAAAGCAGGGTTAGATGAAAATTGGATCCATCTGTGCTGGACCTTGTCTAGCTGAGTTTTGAAAGTTTCTAAGGTTGGAGATTTCACAATCCTTTTGATGATCTTATTTCAGTGTTTAACCCTCTCATTGTAAGATTTCTTTTTTTAAAGTAATGCAGTTTCAAAATGTGATGATTTCAAAAGGTAATGAAAAAGAAAACTGGAAAAAACCTGGGAAAAAATTATTAATTAAAACAAGTATTTCAATTATACATTTTCTCACTGTTCATTTTTGAATGAAAGGAAAACCAAAAAAACACAAGAATAATAAACAAACCAAATGCCCAAATTAAATATTCTGGATCATTCTAACAGGTATTTTATTTGATTGCAAAAAAAGTTTATGTTTTTTTGCTGTAAGAAAAAAAATATTTAGCCAAAATTAAAAACCAGTTATTCATGCAATCATCTAGACTATTTTGATTCTACTTATATATTACTCAAAGAAAAATTGTGTTGCCTTCTGTGTCCAAGAGTGTATATGTTCTGGGTTGATTAAGAATATATTCTTATATTTTTTTTTGTTAATACTTTAACTTTGTAGTTCAGACTTAAAGAATTGCTTAGTAGTCAGCAGAAGCAATCAGTTTGTCATATTCACTTTACAGTTGTAAGAAACAGTATTAGTAAATCAGAGAATTGGAAGACTTGCAAATAATGTCAAGAAAACTGCAGACGATGTTCAATAAGGGAAGGACTGCACATATGCTGAAAGACTAACAGAATGCAAAATGATCATGACAAACTGGAAAAAGTAGTCTTAAAAGACTGTGATATTTAACGAAGTAAAATGGAAGAACCACTCCAACAATCTACTTCAGTAGTACAGAATGGAGAATTGAAAAGCTGTCAGAAGTGAAATATTTTGGGATTATAATGGCCAATGAAAAGAATTTTAGCACAGTAGTATTGTGCTCCAGAGCTACAGGTGAACAGCCTGTAGCATATGAAGAGGGTCATAGCCTACATAACATAAAATCTTCCCTCCTCTTCAAAATTCAGTTGAAGTGCTGTGCAAGTTTGAAGCTCTGCTCTTCATGAAAGATATGGAGTAGTTGCTGAGTGGAAAAAAGAGAATTCTGAGACAAGGCATGGATCTCTTCAGAAAGGATACTGATGAGAGGAAGTGAGCAAGGTGTTTTCCCCCTTAGAACTTAGACTTAGAACACACTTTAATTACAATACCTTCTAGGTTAGGCCTAGCAAAAAAATATTACCTAAAATCTTACCTTCCTGGAAAGTGATGCTATTATGGCAAGTTTTACCAGATGACTTATTAGAATCTGTAATATCTCTTCATCATTATAAACGGCATTTTATTATTTTAATTTCTGAAATAAAATCTGTTTTCAGAGTCTGTGTCCAGATATCATTTTACTCTTAAGTGGCTATGAGTACTTTGATTAACAATATGTATGTGAGACTGTGTAAGTTAACATATACTGTCTACTCTATACAAAGCAATATAATTTTTCAAACTTTGTGATAAAAAAGGATGAAAATATCCCTTTAAAACTCACAGTTTGAAATGTTACTTGTTTTCAGCTTCAAGATGCAGACTTACAATACTTCCATTCTTTTTGAAATCCAAAATGCATTGTAATGTATTTATATTTGATTACATACATGCATATGTGTGGATGTAGAGTTCAGAGAAGTATGTAAGCCACAAGTAACTTCTGAAAACCATAACTCTTTCTAATGCTGACCACAACAATGACTAGCTTAAACCTGTGTGCCTAAGAAAGGTATTGACACATCTACCT